GACAGAAGAAGTAAACATTCCAAGATGTGGGGTTAAGGGAATGCTCCTGGAAGAAAAGGACAGCCAGACTTCAGAGGCCCATGGCGATACCCAGGGCTTTCCTGGGCTGGGTGGCAGAGAAGGCAGTGAAGGGGCAGAAATGAATGCAAAAGGCAGCAAGACTCTGAACACCACTGCTAACAGCTTCTCGCTCCATCTTTGCTTTTTACCCCTCCCTCTTTCTTCTGATCTGTCCCTCCCATCAGATGTTTATACCAAAGAAATAAGCACTATTAGATCTCAATACAAATGAACCAAAAAGACCTTTTTCAAAGGCAATGTCTAAGCTCTTTAGCCTCCAGAAGTCTCAAATATTCACTGGAAGAGACAGTATTCCCAGCAGCCCAACACCTAAGAGGGAAAGGAGAGCTGGCCACACACTGGTCGCTTTCCTTTCATGACCTTCTTCCTCTTCTCTGTCTTCTATTCTCCTTGACCTCTGCGGGAGAAAAGGAAGAAAACAGTAGAAACATCTCCAAGGAGAAGTGGAGATGAAAATATGAGAACTCTTTCTTAGAAAGAAAGATGGAAGGGAATATATACACACACACACACACACACACACACACACACACACATATATATATATATATATGGAGAGAGAAGTATAGCTGGGATAATTGTACCGCTGATGTCTATTCATTTATCAAAAGGAACAGTTAATGCTTCAAGTTTTTTGATCAATTTTGCATGCTTATATCTGGTAATCTGAACAACTATTCTGAAGACAACAATATGCAATATAACAACCTCTGGTAAATTCCTACTATCTTGTTTAGTGAAGCTCTGTATCGTTTCTATGTTTTTTATTATTTTTTTGTTCTCTTTAATTGTTTGATCATTCTTGCATTCTTACATCTGGTAATCTGAGCAACTTCGTTGAAGATAACAGTATGTTATTAACAACCACTGTTAATTCCTATCATTTTGATTTGAAACCCTGCATCATTTTTGTTTCTGTGTTTTACTTTTGTCTATGTTGTTGTTATTTTTTATTCTCTTTAAAATAAAAAAAGAAAATGTAAGAACTCAGCACAATGAGATACAAGTGTGGAGGTGCAGCCTGCTGTGTGCTTATTTTAACTGAGCCATAGGAGGACTTTTCTAACAGATTTATCTTCCCATCCTCCTGGACTGGGGCTTGGAAAGAAGGTAAAGGCAGACACTGGACCCAAGGCAGAGGTGGGCAGGAAAGCAGCCATAGCCAATTCTCTGCAGCAACCTTCCCCCTGCAGCCCCTCTTCCTCCTCCTTCCTGCCCTGATCCAGCTGCCCCAGAGGCCTGGAGTCCTCCGTAGCCTTTGCCTGCTTCTCTGACTCCCCTCATTCTCTCCCAAACTAAATGCCTGCAATAGACCCAGGCAGCTCCCCTCCAGCTCTTACATGGAGCTAATGGGCCTCCACACAAAGCCCCAGTGGGGCAGGATGTGGAAACTTGGACATGGTCCATTTCAAAAGTAGCAGGATCGTGGCTCACCATTTGCCACAGCAGCTGAGACTGCAGAAATGAGGCAGGCCAGCATTGTGTGAGACCGAGAAACGAAGGCAGAAGATCCACAGGGCCTTCTCCCTCTTAGTGACAAACACTCTTCATTTTGGAACCCTTTCTTAACCACATTCGGCCTCACCCTGGTTCTGACTTGTTTTGCACTGTTGGTCTGTATTTCAAAGATGGCCTTGCACAATCATCTTTTATAATAATGATCATGTCTAGCAAGGCTCAAATGCTTCCATCCAGTAGTTTTATATCTCAAAACCCCTCTGCACAGTGGAGATTATTATCACATGATATAGATTACAAAATAAAGCTCAAGTTTGTCAACTTGCAAAACCCACACTCTGTCTTCTGCTCTAAAATGTCCTATTTTTCTAATAGCAAACCCATTGAGGGTAGGGAGTGTGGTTCCAACTTCCTGGACTCCTCTTGAGCCCTCAATAGTGCACTGGATATCGGTTTTGAAACATTTTTAAAGCTAATGAAAAAAAGTTTGGTTGCAGAGAGTGATTTGATGAAGGAGTTAGCAAGACACACAGCTGCTTTATTGTCTGCAAAGCCAGCTTCTCCTCCCAAATGCACATAGTCATTAGTAGGAAGCTAAAATTAAAGCCGCAACAAAACAACCAACCCCTTCTAAACAGGCATCTTGGATAAATCTTCCTTTGTTTGCATTCTGGATTCACGAGTCATTGAACACCCCCAAACAGATGGGAAGCAGGGCAAGAGAAGAGAGCAGGCATTAAGCCAGGCCTGTGTTCTCCAAACCTTTTCAGGCAGGAGCATCCTTCTGACCTTGCAAGAACAGGGTAGTTACCAATAGAGGCCATGTGTCTGGCAGACTGTCCTTCTGCAGAAAGAAAACCTCATGTTGATGGGCAAGAGGTGGATTTTGAAAAGAAAGCTGCTTCTTACATATCTGAAACTATCTCCAGTGATTTGAGGGGGACGTATCTAGCAAATTAGTAGAACAGAAAACTGCGTATTGCCCTGAATCCTAATGCTGGGTGATTGCCTTGCAATGAGGACATCAATAAGGAGCACATGACCATGTGCAACAATTGGTCTTGGACTGGACACTGACCTGAGCCTGCTGGGTCCTCCGTACCTGCGGGCTCACTGACATTCTTGTCTGGAGTCACCATCCTTTGGCCTGAACACCCCTTTAGCTGCACGGTTAGAAGCCCACATAGCCGTTTCCCATACTACTACCTCTCTGCTTAAAGATCCTTAAAGAGGAGAGGAGGAAACAATCTACATCCAGCGAGGATGAGAACCTCTGTGCCAGGGTCCAGAGTGTCCAGACTCAAGACTCACAACAAGGACTTACAGTATTTCTCTTACCTAGGAGAGGTCAAGCTTGAAATAGTGGATGAGACTTTTTTTTTTTTTTTTTTTTGAGTGCTGAACAAAGCATGAAACTGCCACCCTACTCCAGCCAGAAATAAGCTGTGATATCACTGGCACGCAAAGTTCAACCCACAGGAGGGCCCTGCAGGATGGTGGTAAGAGAAAACTCAGCCCTTGTGTTTGGCTGATCTTTAATATACCTGTCTAGCTCTGTTTGCTAAGGGTGAGTGCTCAAGACATATTTGGTTTAACCCTGAAGGCACACCCTCTCCTACAAGGCACCCAACAAGCAAATACAGATGTGCCTTCCAATAGTTGGAGAAAAAGTTGACAGGGGGAAGGGTGGTGACAAAGGAAACTCATAGCTCTGTGGCCAGCTCCTGGAAGGCCATCCATAGTGCCAAGGCAGAGAGAACACAATGATGCCACTAAGCATGCCTAAGATGCCTCTAACAACAACACAGGATGCTGGAACCTCCCCTCTTGGACCTCTTGGCTGCATCATCCCACAGTTTCTCGGAAACTCTTCTGTCATTCTCCATATTCAAGTCACAATTCGATGCAATTTTACTTATGCTTCTCTTGACATGTTAAATTTTCTACTTGATACCTTGAAATGAGCTTTAAAGTTGTATTTCTGGGAGGAGAAAGCCTGAATTGTGATTTTAAATTTTATTGGCACAATAATTGCCTAATGGATACATCTTTCTTGCTTTGAATACTATATAATTCAGAGATACTTGCCTTGTGCCCCAAATAATTTACTACTAGTGATTGTTCATATCAGTGTCTCCCACTCTTCTTGAACATGTATCCTAGGAGTAAAAATCGTTGAGTATGTGTTCCCAAAATATGTTCACTTATAAATTTTATACATATAATTTTATATATGTCCATCCGTATGATAAATATTGTTAGAGTTCAATTCCTTTCTTACTTTAGGTACAAATAGAAATTATAATATTTTACTCTGGTACCACAATAGACTGTCTTACAGAAGGGATGTTGTACCCCACTTTGGAGGCTGTAAGATAAAAAGATATTTGTATGTGTAAGGCCATCACCTTTCCTACAATAACAGCTGCAACATTCCTCTCCCACTCAATGGGATCTTATTCTAAGAAATACACTTGTCTACCACAAGAGAATTTTGTAGCCTAATTTAATGACAAACACTGTGCCATAAATAATCCCAAGTCATTTTCCTAGCCATTAGTTTCAGCCTCTCCCTTTTCTAGCACATGTTCTTTGGCTCTACCAGATTGCAACAAGGTTGTCTTGTTTGCTGCCTGCCTTGTTCCTTGATGTAGCTGTACTGGGAATGCTAATGAGCCATGAAATGGTCAAGTTCAAGAGGGGAAAGAAAGGATGCCCACACACTGGGGAGCAGTGTTTAAGTCATCACAAAGAGACAGCAGAGTCATCAGACCATTAGACCACCTAGAAAGCCAACTGCTGCACTCCCCCACCCATTTCACACGCAGGCTTCTCTGGTTATACTTTTTCAAAAAGTAGATTTAAAAGCCTGTTTAGATTAGAGAAGGAAAAGAAAGAGTAAATTTCCCTGTAACTGTGATCTAGCCTCTTTCTTTCTGTAAGTTATAGATGCTGGAGGAAAAAAAGTGCTTTCCCTGCCAGTTGTCGATAAACATCAAGTAAAAAATATTCTATAGCAATCCGCCCAGCTGTTCTGCCTTAACACCTCTCCAAGTGACGTACATTAGACAAAACACAAAGAGCAAAGCCCAAGTATGAGGAAGGCGGAAGTTGTTCACAGGCAAGGGCTGCCATAAAATAGTGCATGCCCCTAACACTATACTTTCATGAAATAATTCTGTCTTAGTTACTTTTCTGTCATTGCTGAGACAAAATACCTGACACCAAAGTTTTCTGTCATTGCTGAGACAAAATACCTGACACACAAAGTTAAAGGAGCTATGGAATTTAATGTTTGCCCTGCTGGGTTTCAGTTTTGCTTTGGTTCAATTAGTTTCTATTCCCTCACTTTTTCCTTTTAGAATGGGAGTGCTTACCCTGAGCTATTGCATACTGGAAATGTTTAACCTTCTTTTTTATTTTTACAGGGGCTCAGAGATAAGAGTTTGCCTTAAGTCTCAGAGGACACTTTGGACTTGGACTCTTCAGCAATGCTGAAAGTGTTAAGACATTGGCAACTCTTAGAGATGGATTAAATGAATTTTGCATAGAGATGGACGTGAGTATTTGGGGGGTCATGGGTGGAATGTTATGGTTTGGACCTGGAATCAAAGTATACAGAAGACTCTTGTGTTCAGAGGTGGAGCTTCTGTAAGGCACTTGGATCATGCAGGTAATATAGCTGACTTCTTGTTAGGAGGTGGGGTCTGTTGAGAAGAGATAGCTCACTTGGACCATGACTTAAAAGGGTGTATCTCCCACCCGGCTCCTCTCTTGCTGCTCTCTCTGCTGCCTGGTCACCATAATGTGAAATTAAAGACTTCCAACATATAATGGCACCAGAATGGAGTATACATTTGAATCCTTGGGTTATAAGTATGGCAGATGCAGGGGGTCTGAGAACAATAATGCAGGGGGGATGGCATAGAACCATGTGACTGTGCCACACTTTGCAGAGACCCCTGTGAGGACTGGAGTCAAAGGTTGAGGGATGACCTAAGAGTCCTAGAATTCTGGAGGTAATGACACTCAAATGGAATTAAGACCAGATGACGTCAGGCCTCATAGGCTAGAAGTTGTGAGACGTACATTGGGAAAGAGGGGTTTAGAGTCTTGGCAGGAGCACACAGAGTTCTAGGACCTCTTTTCATTCTCCTGTTGATACTCTGGCTGTTGCAGGGTGGGGTGACCTCATCCAAAGGGCATACATGGGGCCTGAGCTCCCTCTTCAATCCTATAGAAAGATATAGAAGCAGAAGTGAACCATTAGTGCCATTCAAATGATAAAGAAATGTATAAATTATTCATAGTTTTTATTATCTTATACCTCAAGATTATTACTTTTCATGACTTCAGCAAGTAGCACATTTCCATGCTGAACATGGACTTCCTTAGTCCAAGGAAATTTAAAATTTTGCTTTGTTCCTTCTTCTCCCTAGGTTCCAGCTGGCTAGCAGCCAAGGTGCTTTGGGCTAAATTCACCATCTAGTGGTTTTTGCTAGAAATGACCTGGAATGACCTCCCCCTTCACTGCAGTCGTCCTTTCCAGGACACTGTGGAGTCCTTTCCACAACCGCTGTGCCTCACTGACCTGAGGCTCTACTCTGCCCCCTCACTCCCATTCCATTCTTTGGTGTCCTGTGGCTCCTAAAACATGACCCAGTGCTGCGCCTGCTCCCCTCTGCTTGGGGCATCCTTTATTCCCAACTCCACACTGATGGCTCGCTTCCTTCTTTGAGGAACCCTATCAGTTGGTAGCTCCTTTTTTACAGTTTAGGTCAAAAATCTCCCCCAAAATTCTCATGCGTTTGGAAGATGATTTGGGTCATGGGTGTGCTATGCTCATCAGTTGATGAGTTCAATACCTGAATTTACTGTTAGGAGGTGGGGCCTGCCTGTCAGTGGATTACTAGAGGAGTGACCTGAAGGATATATTCTTGACCCCAGCTGCTCCCTTCTCTCTCTATGTTTCCTGAGAGCCATGAGGTGAGCAGCTTTCCCCTACAATTTCCTTCCACATCCTGCATCTGCCTTGAAACCAAGTAACTATGGATTGAATTCCCCAAAACGATGTGCAAAGATAAAATCTCTCCTTGTTTAAGTTGTGGATGTTGGGTATTTTGTACTAGTGAAAGGAAAGTGACTGAATAATACAGTTCTTTAAAAAGAGTTACTGTTGTATCTCAACTCTAATCTCTTATCTCAGTTTTTTCTCTTCAATGCTCTCATCACTACTTGTATTTTCTTATTAGCTTACTGTCTGAATAACACCATAAGAAAGGTTATTTCTCAAATACAGAAACTTTGTTGTCTATTGATGAATCCTGAGTGTATAGATTTGGGCTTGGCACATGATAGGCACTCTCCCTGATTTCCCCTTCCTCTAAAATGTAGTGTATTTTCACAGCGAACTTGGATCTGACCAACCCCTATAAAACAACAAGTAGAGAAAGGAAACATATAGACTTTCAAGTGAAAATAATATTTACAAAACGTCAGTAAAAGCTTTGAAAATTTCTGAGAAATCTTCTTCAGAACATATACCATTTTTAATAACATGTGTTTTTTCCTCAAAGACTTAACATTTAAAATGAGCATGGTTTAATTTAATTTCTTTTCTGCTTTGTTTCCTTTAGTCTTTGGTATTTGTATTAGTCCTCCTTCCAATTTCTGAGGCAAAATACCTGACACAATTTAAAGGAGGACAGGTTTATTTAAGCTCATGGTTTTAGAAGACTTAGTCCAAGGTCATCTGGCCCCAAGGCAGGAACATCATGGTGTAAGGGCATGGCAGAGCAAAGCTGCTTAGTTCATAGCAGGTAGGAAGTAAAGCAAGGGAACATTTCAGAGAGGACAGGGTCAGGGACCAGAAACAATACTCAAGGCCTTGTCTCAGTGACTTACCCAGATACACCCAGAAGTGTGCTTTACTTATCCCCTGGGTGATTCCCAAGCCAACCAATTTGACAGTTAAGCTTAACCATCACAGTACTGAATGATTATGATTTTCAACTAATTATAACAAATATATTCTATTTCAGTCATATGTTGATTTATACATAAGCTGAGAATCTAATCACTGGTAAATCCTCTATTTTGATGTGAAAATATTCCAAGTTCTAGTTTGCTGAGGACATTGTGAATTATAATCCTTCTGCAGACTGAGAACAATCTTCAAGAAGCCTCCGACTCAAGCAATGAGAAAGTCCATTGGCCCATATCAGACCTCATGTACAGGTAGTCCTATATGCATCTTACTGCTCCTAGGTGGATCTTGCTGCTAGCTCAGTCAACAAAATGTGTAGCTGGGGTCAGGATGGGAGTTTAATATGACAGAGATTCATCAATCAGTTGGGATTAAAATAGTTTCCTTCCCCTTCTGAAAAGTCTGTAGAGTCTTCTAAAGGTGTATGCCCAGTCTTCCCGACCTCTTTCCTCTGTCTTAGATCCATGAAGATGATGTCTGGATGTGGAGGAGATCATGGTGGTGCATGAAAGAGCCTTCAGTCTGCATGTGGGTCTCGGTGCCTCTCTTCACATCCTCATGAGCCTCCTGAAGGTGACTCTTGCCCCTGTTAGTGGTCTTCTTGCCAGTGCCCACAGTCACAGTCACAGCCAGATTCATAGCCTTTTCTAGTTTGCTGAGATGTCTCACTAACACTCTGTAGCCCTCTGGGGTCTGCAGGGATTAGGGTCTTCCTTGAGAAGAAACCATCAATTCAGAACACGCAGGGTAAACTTCCCAGGGTTTAGAGATCCAGTTGATAACTAGTTAGAACTGGAATGTTTCCAGGTTGATGTAAAAGGAGACAAAATGAACTCTAGAAACTCTAAAGATTCCATTTAGTCTCCTGAATCTTTAGTCACTTAAACAATGGGTAGCTCTGCTTTGAGCTGTGCCCATTTATTCTTTAGTTTTCTGGGTTTTTACCTGACCTCCCCACTCAGCTTTTCTATTTGTATAAACAACCTCACCAAAAACTCATAGCACTTGTTTTCTTCCATTTTCTCATTCCATAATTACCACATTTGACGCTTTGGTGGACAAAAGAAGTAGTTCATGATCCTTGTGTCCTTCAAACCTCATTCCAGGACATTTTTCAGTTTTTTTCCTTACATACACTCTAAGGTAAGATATTACCAAGCAAGAGACAGACATTCTGTATGGAGCTCCCATTCTTGGGGACACTAACAGTGATGTATGACATGGTAGGGAGACCCCTAACCTAGTAAAGGAGGAAGAGGGAAGGGCTTCAGGAAATCACACATTTCTTCATTTATATCTTTACAAAGAAATGTCCTATCACACTCTTATCACATTGGGGATCTTGTCCAGGTTCTTGATGCCCTGAACAAAGAACTGAGAACTGAGGAGGACCGTGAAAGGAGCAGCAAGATCAAAGATGTATTGAAAATAAAAGTACATCCCACAGGGGAGGAGGAGTGGACTAGTAAGAAAAGATCACTGTCCAGGGAGGCTTGGTGTTAAAAGTTTTGAGCATTAAGGTTTGGAGTAGGATTAAGGGGTTTATCTGAGGTTTTGCCCCTGCTAATGAATACCTCAGCTTTGCCCTTCTGTTGAGCAGTGAAGTTTTGACCTTTTATGGCCCTTGGAGGAACTATAATGGTATGCAAAGCCCATGGGGGGGTAGAGAGGAGTAGAGAGGTGGAAAGTCAAAAGTGCACAGTCAGTGACACAGTAATTAGAGCTGGGGTCCAGCCAAGGGTAGCTGAACACCACTGGGTGCCTGCCTGGAGACTTAGAGAGAATGAGCTGCTTACCTAGTTACCTTCTCCCAAGTGTTTAGACCTGGATATCCTGGACCTGGGTTAAAGTTTAACTCAGAAGGTACATTTAGCCCAGAAAGTACCCTGTAGAATCAGCCATCCCTTCTTTCTTCAGCCATTTCCTTAGCTGCCTCCTGCATCAACACCTCTCTTAGCTTTCCCACCTTTTGATTCTGCAAGCAGTGAAATTTCTGACTAAAATAAATCCATGAGCTGGTCTGGGCTGGAATGACTGCAAAGTGCTGACCTTCACATCAGAATCACCGCCATCTGAGAGGAGTCTGGTGCTACCCTTTACTTGTCCCAGCAACAAAAAAGACACAAAAGAGAGGCATAGGAAGTCATCAAGACCTCATCAAGGTCCAGAGGAGTTTATAATTGCAATCTCAGGAAAAAGTTACCGGAATTCTCACAAGTAAGTTCCAATCTGCCACTTCCAGTGCAACACATGACAAGATAAGGAGACAAAGACATATCTGCAGCTGTGGGAAGCCAAGCGGATCCTAAGTCCAGTCAGAACAAATGTTAATTGGAACAAAGGCCATGACCCAGGGCTGAACCCAGTTTTATTAATTCAGGAAGAGGGGAGTGGCTTGGGGCTGAGGGACTGTGAGAATGGTGGGAAGTACCTGAATACTGTGAGCTGGGCTGGGTAGGACACATAATGGCACCTCTGCAATATGCAGAGAAAGGTTTGCAGAAAAGGGAACAGATTCTGATAACAGGTAGCCTTAAAGTTTGGAGAAATCTGTATAACACAGTTTGAGGAAATATCTTGTGTTTTGAGCCGGCTGCTTCAGCTCTGATGTCTGGCTTTTACTGCCCTGGGACTGCCTCTTTCTCAAGCCTCAATCCCAGCAGACAGCACAGCATCTCTGGGCCTAGCTCATGCTTAGTAGTAGAGAGCTATAGATAGGGCATCACAGACCTGTCACATCGCTTCAAAGGCTACACATCAGAGCCTGGTGCTTAGGCTAGACCCATTTGCATTGCTTAAAGCCAATCCAGGCAGTTGACTGTTTTCCAAGCCAGCTTGGAACCTATCAATACACAGAAGTAGAGCAAGAGGGGCTGGGGATTTAGCTCAGTGGCAAAAGCGCCTGCCTGGCAAGCGCAAGGTCCTGAGTTCGGTTCCCGGTACCGGAGAAAAACCAAAAAAAAAAAAAAAAAGAAGTAGAGCAAGAGTTAGCCAAAATGGTTCAAATGGTCTTCTTTCAAGGGAAGCCATCCCGGTGGTCCTCCACAGAGAGAGAGATATCTAAATTTGCTTTCAGGGGGAAAGGAGATTTCATGTAAATGAAATAAATAAATATCTGATATAAAGTCAGAAATATATTCCAGGAGAAAAGGTACCATTAGTTCCTTCTGTTTGACTGTAAGTTTGTTTTCTATATACAGAATGACTACATCTACTCAAAAACTACACACTGAACTATAACAAATAACATATCCCTGACCTCTTAGGACTTATAATTGGTTCAGGAAAACAAGATATACAACACTGAAGAAGCACCATAATTAAAATAGGCACAATAATATTGTTAAGCAATTTTTATGTATGACATACCTAGTGTTAAGTTCCAAAAAGCAGTGCAGCAAACAAGTCTGCAGAATTTCAGAAGCAGGAAATGGAAGGAGGTTGAACAGCCATGAAGGCCAGATGCAGAGGACGGTGTCTCAGCTGTGCCATGAAGCTGGCTGAGAGAAGTGAGGGAAAATCTTAAACATGCAAGGTGTGATGGAAATATATAGTGAATGCTTACATTTATAAAATTATTATAGTACAAGACACATTGCCTTTAATCCCCCTCAGAACACTCCCCCTCCAAAAGAAATATTCCCTCTCACTTCAAACATACTCATCCCATCATTCTTGCCACGTTCTGAAGCAGTTCTGGAAGTTCTTCTTTGTGTTCTTTATACTTTATGAAGTGTTACTAAAAATATGGTAAAAGTTGTTGCCATCCAAATGAAAGCTGTGTGTATCTTCATTCACCTATTCACCAGATCTGGCACCATGCAACTTCAGGCTCTTCCTTGAAGTCAAAATGATCATGAAAGAGAAACATTTTGAATAGATTCAGAACATCAAGAACTGCTTTAGAAAGTGACAAGAATGATGGGATGAGTGTGTTCAAAGTGAACAGTATTTTGATCAGGATTAGTGGCAGTATGTCTGTAAGAAATTGTTCAATGTAAACATTCATTGTATATTTCAATCATATCTAGCACACAAAATGAGAAGAGAGTGTATTCATGATGAGATTAGAGGAAGAGCAAGAAGACTAGTCTGACAAAAGGGAAGTTTATGAAGGAGGCAGCCAGGACACGGAAGACTCCACGGCTGCAGTACTTGCTGAGAACACCAGAAGCCACACACACCCATGGTGTATTTTTCTCCAGAATCAAGCATTGACTTTCTCTAATGCTTTGGAAAGGAAGAGTGAGTCTTTAATTGGCTTTGCATATTATTTTCGAAGGAATGCAGAAGTTGGTATACTGTTATGCAAAACAAACATATTTGCATGAATGCTTAAGGTTAAAAACTTCAAAGAACACTATCACTTGCAGAAAAACCTCCATGCCTGAATGTTCTCCTCCCTAAACAATTCCCTCTCCCTCACTGTTGACTCCAGTCAATTTACACGCTCAACCAAGTGTAACTCCTATCATATCCCAGGTGGACTCCTCTTTCTGCTGGATGTCACTGCCCCTGGCCAGGCAATTACCATGTCTCACTCGGGTAACTGCAGTCCATTCCAGCTGGTCCTGTCCTTTCTTGTCCCTCCTGTCCTTTCTTCTCCCTCTCTTTCTTCTACACTATGTCCAAGGTCATCATTCTACAAGGACAGTGGAATCACACTGCCCTAGCACTATAACTTCCCCAGCATCTTCTTTTCACCTATCATCCTGCAACATCCAACCTCTCCCACTGTACCTGCACATCGCTGGTGGGTTTTGCTGACCCACATCTGCTCTGCTCACACTGTCCTTGAGCATCAACACCTCATCTTTTGAGAAAGCACTTCCTGCAACTGGTCATGGTGGTAGCTACCTGGAGTCCCAGAACTCTAGATGGCTGAGGCAGGAGGATCACCAGTGCCAGCCCAGCCTCAGCAACTTAATGACTTAGCAAGACACTGTCTTAAAATAAAAAATTAAAAAAAAATTAAAGGGTTAGGAATGTAACTCAGTGCAAAGGCCATGGACTTCATCCCCAGTAAAGCAAAAAAAAAAAAAAAATTCCCATCAACATCATTCCAGCAATTCTCTTTATACCATGCAGTCCTCGGAGAAAACCAAACTTAGAAAACTTTAGTAAATTCTCTTGAAGCAACTTCCTTTTCTTCTATTTCTGCCAATAACTTATCAGCCTCCATTTTTTCAGCCTATTTTCCTTGAAAATTTTCAGTAATCTGCCAACACTTCAGGGTCTGAAGACTACTTTAGTGGCAATAGAGATAAGACACCATTTTCTTAGATCTTGTGTCTCCCACATATGCAATCCCATAGCACACATTGTTTAAATGGCTCAATAAGCACACACTGTTGACTTGCCATGAGCTGTTGGGCATTCTTTCAGGTGTCCGGAATGAAGAGGTGAATGAAACACAACCTGCTCTGGAGAAATGGCGGTTTTGTATGTGTCTATTCCTAGCTACTCCTAGGGCCGGTTCTTAGCAATCAGGGATTACAGATCTACATCACTAGTTATACCAGGTAATAAGCCCAGAAGAGCCACAGAGAGAAGGCTTCTCTGCAGACCTAACCACATGGAGAGAATTCTGCATCCCCAGCACGAGAGAGGAGCCTTCTCTGTGCTGTAGCAGGCCCAGCTTCCCCTCTGTATTCTGCAACAATCTGCTTCACAAGATCCTGTAGTACAAAACAGGATTAGCCAGGTACATAGAATTCAAAATTAACCTTTCTTTTTCCGAACAGAAATCTTTAAATATAAGAAGTAGCACTTGACAATTATAATTAAGCCCTCAGCATTCTTTTTAGCTTGGGACCCATTAACACAGTTATCCATTTTCTCTGGTTATCCCTGCCTCAACTCTAGTGTTTGGCTTGACCCAAGGTTGTTCACCCATAACCATCCCATCCCACCCCTTTAATTATGCTCTTCCCAGAGATAGTCCTTTCAGATTTGGAGTACTATGTTTCTTTCTGCTTTGTTGTAGTTAAGCCTGCCTTCTCCATGGTTACCAGAACCCAGATTTGGCCCGAGTCTACCCCCGAAGTCTCCCGTACTCATTTATTACTTTCCTGGTGTTCTGCCTAAGGGATTTTGTCCAAGAAGAATCTCCACCTGATGTATTTATCTCTCTGTCTTCCTCATGATTTTAAACCTCTAACCCCAAACCATCCCCCAGCCGGCTGAATATAGCTTACAGGGTCCCTGATCTGAATCCAAAGAAGTTAGTAGTATGGGCAAAATCGAAGTAGAAACAGATAGATAGCGTCATCCTCTACTCAATACATACTAGAGAAGAGAAAAAAAAGGAGATATCATATAAATTAAATCCGTGGGTCCAAATGAGTGCCTGAAAAGCATACATAACATTGGAAAGTGGGTCAGAGAACTGGCATACTTATATCTTTGGAACCATCAGATCTATCAGCCAAGAGGCAAAGGCATTTCATAGTTTTGTGGGAGAAATTTCTTTTACAGCTGCCCAACATGGTCAATCACCCTTGTCAAATGCGATCCAGTGAAAAGGCCCCCGGACTCCTTGCTAAATCATATATCAACCCACTAGGGGATGAACAGGATGGCCCTCTCCCTTCCTCTTTTGGTAATACCTGTTCATTGATTAATTGATTAATACAACCAGACTAAATTTCCAAAGGGCAAAAATATGCTTTGCTTTTGGCCTTTTTGCCAGGAACCAGAGCCATTCTAGGCATGAGATGGCCTGGGACACATGGGTCACCTGAGCCTGCCCCTCATGACCTACATTTCTACTCACTCACCCTCAGGGTACTGAGCTCGGCCCCCACCTTCCCAAACAACCTCTTTGCAGACCCAGTATTTGCTCAGATGTAAGCATATCTACCCATGTTAGCTGACCAAGGGCTGTGGATGGATGGGGATTTATTCAAGACCCTTCACATATGCTTACATTAGAAGATGATTTAGCCCCTAACTGTCATCACCCTGCATTCTTCTCTAGCTGTTGTGGGTAGCTGTTATGGTTTAGATTTAAATGTCCCCTCAACTACTCCCATTCAGAAGTGGTGCCTGGTTAGGAGTGGATCACTAAAGGCCCATCCTGGAAAAGTATATTCTTATCCTCAGCTCGTTCTTTTGTTCTGCTTCCCAGTCACCATAAAGTGAGCAACTTTCCTCCACCCTGCCCTTCCACCACACTGTTCCTGCCTTACAGCCAGTGGCCATGGATTAACTTCTCTGAAACCATGAGCCAAAATAAACCTCTCTTCCTTTAAGTCACAGATGTCTGGTAATTTGTCCCATTGTTGGGAAAGTGACTAGGATACCACCTCTCTCAGTTCTGCTTCCTAAAGAGCACTGTGGTGAAGAGCTGACTCTGAGCTGATAGGTGGACAAATCCTAACTTCTCAACTTACAGTAGGATCAAATTAAAATAATGGACTTATTTTCCATTGTTCCCACAAGATCGCACAAACTAGTGCACAGAGAATGCTATGCCTGGCATGTAGTAAAGCTGAGCACTGCTCGTGTTGTAATCTCCTCTGGGAAGGACCATCTTTTACTTCTCATTTCTCCCTGTATATCTAAGCACGCCTAGGTGTTAAGCACACAATGAGTGTTTAATATACAAATCTGATTGCATAGCTTCTCCAAAGTTGCTGCATTCTCCTAAGGCCAATCAAAGCGTTTCTGCTCAAGAATTCTGATGAAAATGCTTGCTTACAGCTGCTCTTTAGGATCACACTTGGGAGCATCACTCCCTTAGCTATCCTCTGCATCATCTGTGCTTTTAAAATAAGAGGGAATTAATTCCTCTGGGCCAGCCCACTTGCTAAAGGCAAGGTGGCTGCAGCAAGAAGGCAGCAGCTCAGCCTACAGCTGGAAGCTCAGGCCTAGCCTTGGCCCAGGGACTCAGCGTGTCTTGCAGCAGCCCCGACTGTGCCCAGGGACTCTCGGCAGCAACCACGTGAGGCACTCAGCTATCCTGGGTACAGGCCTCCCGTGCTTTGGAGCATTAGCAGCCTGGTGCTGACGAATATCCTAAGAGCAGTTTCACTTCAGCTGCCAGTAAGGTCTTGGCCAGATTGAGCACCCAGAGCCTGCAGCTGAGGAACCAGAGTGAATTTGCTCCAAACAGAAGCCTCAACAGGGCAGCCCAGCCACCATCTGTGTGCTGGGACAAAGCAAATGCAAATGAGTCCCTCCATCTGCAAAGCACCCTTTCCGTGATTGCCTGCGTCCAGCCAAACCTTAAGCAGGGGCAGGAGAGGTGGAGAGGGAAGTCTTTGAGCAGGGCACCTCTGTGAGCCCCTTGGGGCCTATATATGCCTGTTTGAGCTGAAGGGAAACATGACTTTGCTTTCTTTTAGTAGAGAATGAACTTGAGAGCAAACCCTGGGTGGAGTTGCAGCAGCACCCCTGCTGCCTGGCCCACATGCAACAGGTGCTCAAGCAGCGTTTGAGAGCTGAGTATGGCTGACCAGGTTAATCACTGGCCAAGCCCTTCAAGCAGGGGTGTGACACTGTGCTTCCCACCTCGGCCTCTGTCCACCATCACTTGTCACCTACAGCTTCCACTCCCCTCACCTCTACGGATGCATCCAGTGTCCATCAGAACTTGGTTTGCTGAAGTTGCCCCCCAAAGCCAGAAAGCTATGGTCTATGGTGGGAGGCACATAGCTATTCTATCAGCTAAGTGGAGATCAGAATCCCATAATTTGGTTGTATGGTCTGAGGGAACTGTCCTGGTTCCCACGAGGGTAAAGGCGGCATGGGTTTCTCAGAGGGTGCGGTCACTGTGAGCGCCAATGATGGGAGTGGAAATCAAAGGGAAGGGTTTCCTCGTGCTTGTTTCTAGCCTGCCTTATATAAATTCCCCCTCCAAATCTACTGCATTTTATAGTCCCTTCCCCATCCCTCCCTCGATCCTTGACTTTTAGCTTTTGAATTATAGAGATAGAGATACAGAAGTATGCATGCTATGTATGCTGTGGTGCTGCAGAGATGTTACTGATTAATTACAGCTGCTAATAAAAGCAACACTGAGATAAGCGATCCCCTAAAGTCACAAGGCCAGTTTGTGACCTTATCAGATGCATGAATTCCAGTTCAGTGATCTTTTCATTTCACTGTGCGATAGTTTGGTTTGGGTTTTGTTGGAGGGCTGTTTCTCTTTAATGTCTTCAAAGCAGACCCCAGGTGAGGAGCTTTCCTGTCGAGAAGCTGCAGCATCTCCCAGGCCAAGCCCAGCGCCTCGGAGGAAGAGGTTCTCCCGGAACCCTGTCTTCCTGACGTGCCCCTGGGGACATCATCTCACCTGGCCCAGTACTGCGGACCCTGGGATAAGGGATCAGCATGTTTGTCACACACAGAAGCAGTGTGGCCCTTCTCTGTCCTGATCTAGAGCCCAAACAGGTGAAGTCTGTGTCTATATCCGTGAAGAGTCTCCTTTGCCAGCACAGCGACTTCTGCTAAGGTGCCTATTCACCTTCATCAGTGGTGCAGCCCCAGGCCAGCGGGAGCTCCAGGGTGCGTTCAGACGCAGGCGGCTTTGGCCGGTTTTGTTTGCCCTGGTCTCCTTGGATGCCTGCAGACTGCAGAGATCTATTTTACTTGTGTCCCCTGTGTTTTCTGGAAGCCAAGCTGTAGATGGATATCCGTTTCAGGGAAAAGAGCGCCACCTGCTGCCTGCAAATGCCCTCGGCCCTGCGGGACTCCTGAAAACCCTCATGTCATTTCTAAAGGACTTAGGGCCTGAAGGAGCCAGAGTTCCAGAGCGCCACCTATCGAATGGCACTGATGCCCCACGTCAAACTGAACCGGTGGCTCCTCAGGAAGAAGCCTGGCCTTGCCTTGTAGCCTGTGTCTTTCTCCTTTCACGTGTTCCATTTTTCAGAAAAGAAAGAGGCTTTGAGAGGCTCGAAATTCAGCTGAGGATCTCAAGGCAGGAAACAG